TCATATCAGTTCATTAGCAAATCCTTTTCCATAACCTTGACCTAAATCTTTTCTGTATTAAATTTTTCTCCCCTGTGCATTTGTTTGGTAAACATATCTTCATCTGATAATTTTGCTCTGTGTATGTGGAGGTCTGTTTGGTGTTCTTCTCCTTTATTACCTGGTGATATTGGATCTCTCCTGTCTTGAGTCTGTAAAATATGAAATTTCTTTCCTCCTTTTCCTTCCTTATTTTTTCCATCTTATTATCTTCCCCCCCAATTGTAATTTTTACCTTGTAATACTTTTTTTGCCAAGGACTTGCCAAATGAAACCTGCAGATTTTACATTTGGTCATTTTCACATCTCTCAATGTTCTATATTCCTACCCAGACTCATGTCATGTATGGACTATTTGATTTATAAGGCTCATATTGTTATCAGTGTTTTTGAGTAAAAAACAAAACAAAACTCATTGCTCAGATTTTTTCCTCCTAATTGAGATTGAAGCCATGTGCTTCAGGACATTTTAAGTCCTGAGATAAAGTTTGAGCTATCCCAGGCAGCTCTGTTCTGTAGAACTACATTTAAGATGTATTAGGAAAACCACTAAGATTGACATTTCTAGATTAAAGCCTTAGAATAGTTTAATTTACCCCCTACCCAGGAAACCAGCCCTTAGGTCTCTTAAGTTTTCTATCAGTTAAAGTTAACTCCTTTATTGATCTTTGTGTGTGAGTGAATATAATAACAATTATCTACATTTATTTTCATCCGTGATTCATATTTTTTTGTTTGATTCTGAATTCAGTGTTCTACTCATTATCTAAGTGGCTGAGTCACCGCATAAACCTAACGGCACACAGAGCATGATGTGTTCATTTACATAGGTAAATATTAAAATCATCAGGTAGAAGAGAGTAATGCTGTTTTTAAACAGTATCATTGGACTCATTTTATTCAGATATCAAATTGCATACTTTGCACAAAAGACGTTACCATATATAGCATCGAAAACCCTTTTTTCCTCCTATACTAAAGTAAAGAGAATTCACCGTAATCTAATGGCATTTTCCTGTAAAGCCAAGCGTTGCATATTTAAGATGAGCTGTCGACCCCTGCAGCGGTTTTTACATGGGCAACTGAACAGAAACACCATTTCATTTTAATGTTCTGGGACCATGGTAATATGATTCATCATGATTGTCCCTGACCCTTGTAACACTATCAATATTGCATTATCTGTGTGACCGAGTGCCCTGTAAACCACATTATTTGCCACCATGACTTACTTTTTTTTTTTTTTTTTTTAATAAATCTGAAAATCCAAATCCAGTGTCTGCCTGAGCTGAAGGTAACAAACAAACCAGAATCATTAATAATTCATTCATTTGCTAGTATTGGAGACACAAAATCTTAGTTAACAGGAAGAGCAGGCTGAATTGTTCTTGGAGGCAGATATTGAAGGCTTAATAGCGTCCCTTGTGATGGAGACTGTTGGGTTTTGAGTCCTTGTTGTTGAGTTTTTTCCTCCTCCCTCTCTGCCTGCTAACCCTCTTCTCTCAGCCAGTGGTGAGGAAGTCTCTCCAACACACATGTGCGTGTAGATAGTGAAGCCTTCAGTGATCAAAGAAGACCCTCTACTGTATCACAGTCAGCTCCAGTCTGCATGCCTGACTGTGTACAGCATGCTTATTTGAAAAAGGGATTTGTTTGCAAAATACCAGAAGCATAGAACGACTGTAAATTCAGTGGACTGCACTTACATTCTGCACATTTTCGAGACTTTTAAGTGGAAATACTGCATTTTATAAAATATTTGTGCAAGCCACGTTAACAAAAGCTCTGAGTTTGCCGCTAATGACAATGTATACCCTTATTCAGCTGTTGTCTAAAATCGCAGGCATCCCAACCCTCCCTTTTGAATCTATGTTCTTAAGAAGCATAGATAGAGATGTGGTAAAGAAAAGGTTGTGGGGGAAGATGGAGCAAGGAGTTTAGAAGGGGTGAGGTTAAATGGCCCATGTCAGTAGTAGTCTTTAACGCATGGGATTACGGCCCTTTTGTGTGCCGTGAGCTCACTCAGTCACTGAGCCCATGTAAGACCCTCTCACACCATTTACCCCACAGTGTCGCCGACACCCTGATCAAGCTGACAAAGGCTGGGAAGTGCACTGCTGCAATCAGCCTGGTAACAGTAAGAGGAGAATAAAGCGAAGAAACGGAGAGAGAGAGAACAAAGAGGGGAAAGAAAGGCGCAGAAGAGAGGAGAATGCAAAGACAAATACACCAGAAGCAAAGACTGTTGTGCAATAGTAATGTCGGAAATGCAGCTGAAGAGGAGGTGAGAAGAGGCTGTGTAAAACAGTGAAAATGGCTTGAGGTGAGAAGATGAACTATCTCAGGAGAAAAAGGTGCATTATAAAGTAGAGAAATGCACTTAAAGCAAGAGTTGGGGAACATGATGAAAAATGGAGAGAAATGCAGTGGCAGTGGGATGAAAGGCTGGCTGACATTATTACACATGTGCGATGGGTTGGTAATGATGCTAATTAAAGCTTTTATGCATGTGTTGTTAAAACCGGCATCTCACTGTGATGTGCTCCATTTGGACCTCTTTTATTAGTTCTTATGGCTGGATTGAAACTATGAAAGCTGATAGCTCCCCTGATGTTAGGCCAGAGTTAATGTGAAAAAAGTACAAAAAGATACCAGTAAAATATATTCAATATGTAGCAGCTGATGGCACTTTTTTCCCAGTGTTGCAGAGATCATGATTATCGCTCTGCATGAATTCTGAATATTAGATTTTTTTTCATGTTCTTAGCTTCTTTATGTAGACATTATTTGTCAAGGGACTTGGTTATTAGATTGGCCAGGTGGAAGTTCTTATGAAAAGGGATATAACCAGTGATTTTCTATACTACCAGATGAAATTATGAAAGTTTGAATGTTTCAAAGGAATAATCGTCCTGTTTTCTGGACCTTTAAGTTTTATATGGTATGCATTTAGCGGCTGTGCTTATACGGAGTCTGATGTTCTGCTTGTAATCATTTCAAAAGCTGAAACAGTAAAAATAATGCTTAGTTTAAACACCCCAATCAGAAGAAACACGCCTGGTTTTTTTTTCAGTTTCAGAGGGATGAAATAAGCCTTTGTGTAAACTGATTAGGAGAAAACTTGTACAATGTAAGTAATTTAACCTGATTGCATTCTTCTCTCCACATGCCCTCCATCTTGACAGAAAAGTGCAGGAACATATGCTTCTCTGCTTTTGGAATATGGCAGCCTGCAAGCGCAGCTGTCAATCTGCATAGAGATTGTTTTAAATACAGTGTTTTCAGGAATTAAGAGTGTGATAATAACGGCAACTACTGTGGCGAACAGATGATGGCTGTCTGTGTTCAGGGAGCTGATTAAACATGTGACGTTTACTGATAACTGTAGAAGAAGGGGAGAAGTTAACAGGTGAAACAAAGTCTTGAATCAGACTGACTTCAACTATAGAAATGTTTACATGTGACTGAAAGAGAAGCTGTAAAAGCTTTTTCTGATGATCTGTCACACTGTGGTTTTTCATAGTAATCATTGCTCTTACACAATTTTTCCATTTGTGGTGCTTTATGATGTCAAAGAGATTACATATCCTTAATATAGTCATCTCAGGCACATTACACAGTGGACTTGCCAACCTGCTGTTCAAACCTTATGTTTGTAAGAGGAGCTGAGGGGCTGCACCGAGGCCTAATATGAGATGAATAATGTTTATTTTGAATTGTGAATTATGCAGAGAGACTCTAATAGACTCCAAGGATAATAAATATGGAGGTGGAAACGGACACATTAAGTCCACTTTGAGCTGGAGTTTATCCAATCTTCTAAATACAAAATGTGAAAACATTGATGCAGATAATGTTGTTTAGTTGGAAGCAGGTGTAATTTCTCTCTCCATGTGATGTTTGTAGCAAAAAAAACAATCTAAAAAAACTAAGAAAGGCTTTTAGGAGGTCATTGATTACGTTAGTCAGCACTGAGATGAAGAGCAGTAGCAAATGTTTGTCACGAGGATTGGATACGAACCATTAGGACTAATGCATCATGCATGACGTTTTTCATTCTTTCAGTTATAAAGAATAATAACAATAATAATATTGGTGGCAGGTACGTGGCTCCAAGCTGTGGTGTATCTTAATAGAAGCTAAAAAGTAAAAAATCCTACCGAGTATTTTTCTTCAGGCCAGATTTCTGGTTATGAGCAGACTTTGTCTTGGGATTAAGTTTCTGCTCAAGTTTCTCTTGATGTGAAGCCTCAGTTTAACTTTAATCAGGCCAACTGTCATTTAAACAGAACCCATTGTCAGATGGAGTACAGTGATTAATACAATGCTAACCTTTTTACCTTTGCAATTTTCGTTCTTTTGCTCACTGTAATTATCTCTCAGACGTTCACTGATGAGGCTCTGACAAACATCCATGTCTTATTAATCATCATATTGCCTTGATTTTATGTTTTTCAAGCAGTTTTCTCTCTCTGTCTCTCTGTGTCTCCCACACCCACACCATTTAATTTCAGTTGAGGTTTCTCTGTTTGCCTTGTGTCAGTGATGATAACTTTAATTATTGTGCCTTTGCTGTCTCAGTCCGTGCATTCTGATGAGCTGCGTGTTTAAATAGAAGCGCATATACACACAGACTTTGGTTTGGGTAAAATGCGAAGAACGGGTCAATTAAAAGGGCCTTTGACTGTCCAGAATGTTTTAATTAAAGTAGCAGTGAAATGTAAACTTGGTTCTAATTATGATTAGCCTTAATTAGCTGTCATTCTGATCTTAATTGCTTTTGAATGCAGCTGACCTCCAAATGATGCATCTCCACGCACCAGCATCAGTGAGTTGCTTGTGCGACCCGTTGTTCCATCACTGTACGGCTGTCCGATTGCGCCTGTGCTGTTGTTTCTGTGGTATATATCTGTAAGATGTATTTATTTTCTAAAACGAATGATTTCTATTGTTTCCTGCAGATTCTACTGGATATGGTGGTGAAGAAGAGTGAGGGCTACAGCGTGGAGCAGCTGGAGCGACTGTACTCCCTACTCAGCCAGTGCATCTACAAGCATCGTAGAGAGTACGACAAGACCCAGCTACTCGAGGTCAGAGAGACACAACACACACTGGTGTAGCCTTTATAAAGTGCATTTAAATACAAATATAGTCCTTATCCAGTACTGCAGTCTGCCTTGAGCCTTTCACTTAAAGGTGAAAGTGATTTTGTTGAATCATAACATTTAATTGCTACTTTAAATAATGCATTAGGTACACAAATGCCAAATCTTGCCATTTTCAGCTTCTCAAATGAGAATATTTCACATTTTTCAGATTCTCTTTAATATAGAAATGTATTGACAATGGTATTAAATGTTTTCTTTTATTGTTTGAAACCCACAAACACTCAAAATTATTATATAAATTAGATGGACAATGCCAGGAAATTCTGGGCAGCATGCAATAACTGCAGCTTGGAGAGCAGTACAAGGTCTAACAAAAAAAACAAAAACCTTATCCTTTGTGGATAATCATTTAAAGCCATGCACCACCCAAAGACTCTCGCACTGAAAAGGGTAAAAATAAAACAAACTCGGGCTAATCAGAAAGTAGGTTTAAGGACAGGAGCAATCGAGCTTCGTGGGGACCAGAGAACCCTCCTGAAGATTTTCCAAGAACCCCCTCGTAACCTTAACATAGATTTAACTGGTTTGGATTTAGTGTCACATGGACAGATGTGTTTCTCCGTGCTTGAATGATAGCTAGCAGGGTAATTAGACTACTGATCGCAGTCATATCGGTGTTTCTGCTGTCCCAAAGTGAACATGCAAAGGACCCCCTCCCCTTCTGTAAGTCTGTATGTTTAACATTTGCATTTTTAGTGATGCGGCATCCCGAGGATTAGTAGTAAGTAATTCTCAAAGCAAGATGTCCTGGATGTCAAGAAAATGTTACTTTTTAGATTTATTTTTTTATATTTTGTCCTACAGATTTGACCTTGTTCAGACCAAATAACTCCGATTATTAAAGAGCTGGAAACAGTTGTACACAAAGGCAGATGATATCGGAGAAGATGTGGCTTTCTCCTTAGGGAGCTTAGACATCTCTGAACACTGCGACAGACTGAAACAAGAAAACGTGTTTGGCACTCACTGGGATTCATGACAAAAAAAGGCTAGATATCGACTATGGAAGAAGAGATGGGTAAGAGTAGCATAAACAGCATGTAGATCAGGGTAGAAATTGAGGTCTGCAACAGAGTGTGATCTAATGAGGACAGTGGAAACTAGTAGTGAGAACATTTAAAAAATTGTTTTCAGTGCTTGTGGGAGACCCCCACAGTATATTCCACATAATTCTGATGTTAGTTGGCCAAACAAATGTACTGAACTTCTTAAACTCCACTGAGGCTTCATGAAAAATATATTATGGCTTTGTTTTCCAAAATAATTACAATTTAAAATGGTACTGTGTTTCAGGCAGCCAGAATAAGATCTTAGCGGCACAGGACTGAAAGTCAGAATTTTATATTCATGAATGCAATCAAGCCGCTGACACACAATAATGTTTTATATTATGGTAGCATGATGGTAATTTTGAGGAGATGTAGATCATAAAATGTAATATAAAGACAAACTCGTGCTACAATAACTGCAAATGTTCATTTATTTTTTTCCCAAGTCTCTCGGGAAAATACCGCAAATAATAATAAGCGAAGGATGACAAAAGGGTCTGAATGAATGGGAACTTTTTCCTTTTAAGTTTGCCTCTTTCTTGACAATGTTCCATGTAGAAAAAGCTGCTGTATATTTTCCCAGAATCCCATCTGGTCATCTGCTGCTGCTGTAGGATGTCAGTGCAGACAGGGGGCTCGGAATGGCAGTGTCCTGGCGCTGGTAGCCAGTGCCGGCTGTCAGGATGTCAGAGGGGGGAAGCGGCAAAGGGAGAGGGAGAGAGAGC